ACTGGAACATCCACAATGGCTCCTGTCCTCTTCACAATATCTCCTTCCTTAATTAGCTTATCATTTCCAAACACGACAACACCAACATTGTCAGGTTCCAAGTTCAGAGACATACCCTGCACACAAGACACAAGCGGACACCACTGAAGCACTCCTCTCAATACAATACTGCAAGATACCAAAATAGCCGGGGCAGAGGAGTGTCCTTTTCATCTGGTTTATTCTGGAGTATTTTTCCAACAAACAACTTTCTTTGGTCAGGACTTTTAAAACAGCAAAATGTTTCATTATTATTATAATAATGCTAGCACTATGCTAACATGTTGTCACATCCTCAAATTAAAAGCAGCCAAGACGCGCAGCGCCTGTGGCTCAAATTGAGTAAGGCGCCGGCCCCATATGCTGGAGGTGGCAGGTGCAAACCCAGCCCCAGCCAAACACCTCAAAAAAATAAATAAATAAAAGCAGCCAAGAAATTGGTGCTTGAGCTGAGAGATCAGTAAGAAAAGAAGTGATCACAAATTCTTTTATCAGAACCTACATTCCTCAAGCTAGTAAAAGTGCAACAGAAGGGGACGCTCATAGCTCAGTGGTTAGGGTGCTGGCCACATGCTCTGGGGCTGGTGGGTTTGAACCTAGCCTGGGCCTGCTAAACAACAACAAAAAAATAGCTGGGTGTTGTGGCAGGAGCCTGTAGTCCCAGCTACTAGGGAGGCTGAGGCAAAAGAATCACTTAAGCCCAAGAGTTTGAGGTTGCTGTGAGCTATGGTGCCACAGCACTCAACCCCACAATGACAGAGTGAGACTCTGTGTCAATTAAAAAAAAAAAGGGGCGGCACTTGGGGCTCAAAGGAGTAGAGCACTGCCCCATATACCAGAGATGGCGGGTTCAAACCCAGCCCTGGCCAAATACTGAAAAAAAAAAAAAAGGCTGTTCCCAACCTAACAGAGTCTGCAGTAATGAAAGCTCTGGGGAAATACTTACAATCAATACAGAATATCATGGCAGGTTCAAAAACGTTAATCTATTTCTCTGATGTTTAATATAGTATCCACTAATCACATGTGACTAAATTTAAATCAGTCACATTTAAAAAAAATTAAAATTCAGTTCCTCAGTTATAATAGCCACATTGTACATGCTCATTAGTGACATAAGTATAGTTGGCACCACATTAAATGGCACAGACATAGAGCATTTCCATCACTGCAGAAGTTCTACCCGACAGTATTATTAGAAGCTAAAAGGAAACTGAGTTCCTCTATTTCAACCTCACCGTTCAAGGATATATGCTGTAAAAAACAAACAAAAACAAAGATATATACTGTATACTGAAGATAAGAAGGGTTAAACTTTTGGCCAAGGTCTTACAGCTAATAACTTTGGGCTCTATAATTAGTCTTCCACATCAAGTGGCTCTTTTTCCATACTGGACACGATCAAGAGGATCAAGATGCTTTTCCATGTCTGTGAGGAGACAGTCCTTCTGCACCCTCTGTGTTCCCCAGAGAGCCCAAGACTCCAACAATTTTTATTTCTCATCCCACTGGCCAACAAGGCTCAACCCAATAAAAAGTGGATTTGGATCATCAGCCTCTGCTCTACAAAGTCACCAATTTACAACTTTCTGTGAGAAATAAATTAAAATTACCTTAACAGCTACGAAGAATAGACCTGAACTTCTTATGACTAACCAAAAGTTTACTCAATTTTGTATTTTGGTACCAGTGGCTACAACTTAAATCAGTTAATATGGCTACAAAACTGTGAATCAGTTCCTAGAGTAAAAAACCCAGCTAACCAAAATCCTTATTCTCTTTATAATCTATGATAAAGACAAAAAATCCCTGAGACAAATTATTGAGACTTGTAAAATCTACCATAATCTCTGAATTGCTAAATCAATGACAACAGATACTAAAATACCACAATCTCATTTTGTAATTTACCTTTAAGCCTGAAGAAAATTCTACCATTTCTTCTGCTTGAACATTCCTCAGCCCATGTACTCGGGCAATACCATCACCAATACTTAAGACACGCCCAGTCTCTTCAAGGTCAACAGAGGTATCAGCTCCAAGAATACGCTCTTCAAGAATAGATGACATCTCGGCAGTGCCTATTGAGGACAATTCAATTTAAACTTCAGGTTCTATAGTCTTCTACATCAAGTGGCTGACAAAGTGTAA